AAGCCTAATTATTGATTATACATTACATGATCGCGTAGATTATTTTTGGCACACCTTTTCTTCGTTCCCCGTTACAGGACAACGGACATCTCGCCGGACAAGTTACTTGCCTCCCGAGGGTAAACTGTTACATTGACGCCCAACGTGTGTGTTACCGCGCTGGAAGATTATTATATAATCGCAGTTACATTGTTACTGCGCGAAGATTATTGAAATAATCGCGGGAAACATTGGCGCGTTCGAGTCGAGAGAGAGTAAAAGAGCATAAATATATTGTGACGTGCGAGGGTCTAGGCAGCAGCCTGTGCTCGCCCTGCCGTCTAATTATTTATTTCGGAGGCTCCGGTTAGCCTAACTGGTCGTCTTACCTCAAAGGGGGTCGAGCCCTCCACCAAATGTGCCTCGAGCGTCGGCGATTGTGTGCTGAAAAGTCGGAAAGGTTCGCGAAATGACCACCAGAGGGAGTTAGTTTAAATCCAAATCAATCGTTTATTGTCTTACGTCAAATTACTATTTATTCTATTAATTAAGAAAGGTCGTCGAATTATTGCTTAAATGTAGAGAAATGACAAAGGAAAGTCTGACAATTACTTCAGTGACGTCACGATACCATACGGGTTTCGTGCACTAAGGTCCAAGGGGAAGACGTCGAGTCACAATACGAGCTCGGTTCGAATCCCGATCGTGCCGCGCACCTGCACTCGCGCGTCTCTGACTCGCTATGCGCGAAGCCTTATGTCGCGTGAGTTCGCTCGCGAAAGTCCAAGGGGACTCGCCGAGTCACAACACGTGCCCGGTTCGAATCCCGTTTTCGTGACGCGACCTTAATAACACGCGGACTTGACTTCACGTGGCTCGGCCTGCGACGGCTTCGCTGCTTTCGCGCGAGCGTGTACGACGGACTGCAAAATGGCCGCTTACAAACTCGAAACGCGCGCGACGCAACTGCGACCTGTTCGCCTCGGACCAATCACACACACACACACGATGACAATTCTTCGACTCGACTTATTTATTACGCGACCGACTCTTCGCTCGTTCCACGTCATGCGACATACAGCACACTTACGTACACACACGACCGACCAAGATTAACAAGTACAGATTAAACGCTTACAATCTCTTCGCCTCGGCCCGACGACGTCATGCCGTTGTCCGCTCGCGGCACGCTGCAAACGTGTCCGAGTCCCGTTGTGGTGGGTTGGCCGCTGCTCACTCGTCGACTCGTGCTGGGCCTCTGGTGCCACGCCGGTGATCGCACGATGCAGGCTGCGCACTCCACAGGCACACACAGCACTTGGTATGCGAGTCGCGATGCTCGTCGTCGTCGTGCACTGGGCCGACTTAACCTCGCTCGTACCTCGACTTGGTTTCTCTTTTCGCGCACTCCTCGGACACCGCGTCTCTTTTCCCGTTTTCACTCTCGTTCTCGCTTCAACACACTCGCTCGCTACGCGACGATCACTCGCTTTTTGTCGGCTTATCTACTACTCAACTCGCTTTTTAGCCTCGGACTTGGTAGCTCGCACTCGCACGATACGCAGTCGTAGTCATAATGGCGTCGCTTCACGTGCCTTCTTCTTGCTCGCTTCGTCTTCCGTGCTGCTGCCGCTGCTGCTGCTCGAGTTGCGGCTCGTCGCCGCGCCGCTCGTTCAGTCGGTAACCGTCGAGCACGTGCCTACGCTGCCGCGGCGCACGGAGGTTATAAGCGCTCGGCTCTTCCTTCACCCTGCACGGTCAGTTGGTCGGTCGCGCGTCACACGCATACACACGGCATTCTTACGTAACGGCTCGCGCTCGTCGCCCGTAACATCGTTACAATATATAGTATTGTAGAGTTGCGACCTTGGCTGGATGTACATGGTACGTTGCAGGAAGGCTACAGGCCTTTGGAGCTGTATACGTGCATGGCTGTGAAATTGTATTGTTGTGGTTGGCGTGTCTCTCGTGGAGTGGACCAACCAAGTCGGGTATAGTTTTTTCGGTGTCTGAAAGCCTCGGCGCGATTCAGGAGTATTACGATACGCAGTTTTCTTGTAAAAGTGTTCATATATATGTTGCTCAGCGGTAATTGAGAGTGTAATTTGGCGCGATTTTCTTTGCAAAGTTCGTTACAAATTGAAAATATCCTGCTCAGCGGAAACTGAGAGAATAAATTGGCGCGATTTTGTAAAGTACGTTGCTAATTGAGAGCTGAGAGTCCAAAACATTGAAGCGGTGTCTGTTGACAATTCGAGTCGTGCCTAAAATTGTAAAAACGTAAATATACGAATGCGAGGCGAACCGATGTCGAGAGCCGATTTATAATAATAGTAATTTTGAAATAAGTTAACATCAAATACGATTCTGCTTCATCAATCATCGTCATACCTCATGAGATGATTCATGACACCCGTTCATAAATTAATTGTTGTTGTGCTCAATTAATAGTAAGGAAATTTGTTAGTTTATGAAGAGTAATTTTGGCCTGATTTTTCTCTGTGCGTGTACGCGTTTAAACTCAAGTATCGCTTGTCGTCTGCGCTGACAGAGGCAGCGAAAGTGTGTGGCTCAGATCAAAACAATAACATTGCGTGTAGTATAGAAGCGCGAACGCGTCGTGTAGAGCGAGTGAAACGGAGTCGAGGCGAAGTTAGGCAACACACGTGAGCAAATTGAGTGGGGTGTATCGGGGTGTGTATGAGCGAGTGGTTGTATGAGTGAGTAATAAGAGAGAGTACTAGCAGACATGAATGTGCGCGGCGTCTTAAACTCTTCGGTGTCGCAGATATTGGGCCGAATCGATTGGACAGTGATAGCAGAAAACGACGCGGTAGAAATAATACGATGCACTATCGCGGGCGCGTCGGAAACAAGCGTGCGAAGTAGTTGCATGATGAATGGATTGAATGTTGATGACGAGGTGGATACATTGCGAGATCGGTTGATGCGATTTGAAATTCGTGCGCGATTCGGTAACGATAAAGCAATGTGGGATCCGTCGCGAGATATGGCTTCACAAATGTTGTCGACGATGATAAGTAATAATCAGGCCGTTGTTGATGCAACGCCGTTGGCATCATCACCAAGTAGATTAGGAAATAACTTTAAACAGTGGCGTAATATGCATAATATGTCGGAGAGTAGCAGCCTGATGAATATAGTAATTGATGGAAATAATAAGCGTGGACGCCGCATCTCGGAGGATGAGTTAGCCGAATCGGAAGCGCCGAATGATCGTGATGTGCGTCGCAGTGGTGTTCACACGAGTGGGAGTAGTAATGAGGTACAGAGTGAGCCGTTGGATCTTTTAAGTAACGGTGGGAGTAGTACCGGAAGATCGAGATCGTCTGATGCGTGGCGTGCTCGAGGATGATTATGGATTACGCATAGACCTACAGCGTGATATTCGAATAGAGCGCGATAGCGGAAGACAACGAATTCGGAATAGCAGTGGTCACAGGGAGCAGGTCGAGACGCGTGATTTCGAGCAGGAGCACGTAACAGGTGTCACGTCGACGGTGCGTAGAGTAGCGTTTGTGAATGAATCAAGCACGGCGAATCAAAATGATGCGAATCGTGCGACATTAGGCGAATTCGGCGGGGCGACTCCAGCAGCTTTTGTGACAGCGCAATCTCAGATGTATCAGAGCGAAATATTAGGCGCGGGCCATAGCAAAAGTGGAGGAGGCTCAAGTTTATATGGGGCAGGCGATGCAACGGGAAGCCGCGACGAAATGCGTGAAGGCCGTGGCCTAGGTACAAGCATGGCAACGGGGGTTCGTGGACGGGTAAATAGTCGCGAACCGCAAGGAAGCACGTATGGTCGTGGAGGCTTACGCGAACGCGGCGGTAGTTTGACGAGAGATGAAAACTCGCGATACGGCCCGCACGTGGAAGGTTGGTCATCGATGCCGAATGGTATGAGCGGTGAACGCCGAAACACTTTGAGTAATTCGGCGTGGAATGGCAGCGTAGGATTAAATTCCACATTAGCGAGGGCAGACGAGAAGGCAGCCAGATGTTGATGCTCTCCAGGACGGCAGACTCACTCTCACACACGCTGGCCATCGCAGGTCCCACACGAGAGGGGTCGGTAGCTCGAAGCTATTTCACGCGAGGTCTAACACAGAGTGTTCACTTCATCAACTCCTCGTCGGTCGTCAGTCATCATAGGCCTTCCTTTCCACTTGACAGGCTTTCGTCTGCTCATAAGGCAGCACGCGAAAGACCCGTCTACGCACTTAGCGTTGATCACGGCTCTCTCTCTCTCTCTCTGCAAATTCGGCGCTTATCGATAAATTGGCGCCGATCCGCAATACTGTTAGGCTCGCTTATTTCCGATCTCTCTCTCGGGCGGAAGGGATTCTAGGATACAATTTAAAGGAAGGAGTACCGTCGGACCCTGTGCTGGACTACTTCCTTACACATATAATACGTATGTGTTGTCTATGCATGTACAAGATGTGAAACATCTTTATCAATTAATTAAAGAAAATGGAAGAATTTAAAAGTAATCGAACAAGTAAAAGTTGAAACAAAAAAATAAGTAAAAAACAAGTAAAAAGAATCAAAAATTGAAAAAATTGAAAAAAATCAGCTGTTTATGAACAGCTGCAAGATGTGAAACATCTTACCATTAATTTAAGAAAAAAACAAAAAAACAAAAAACATGAATCAAAAAAACGAGAAAATCAAGAAAAATCAAGAAAAAGAAAAGTCAGAAAATCCCAACACAAGCATCGATGTTTCACATCTGGTGCGCTAAAGCTCGAGCAACTACTCTGATTTTTTTTTTATTTTTCGATTTTCCAAAAGAAAACCTTTCAGATCTCGGGGGTTTCGTGCAAATATCTCATCATCGATATCTAAACTAAAAGTTGATTCCGATTGAAACCTAGTGTCGAACCAAACAGAATGGTGGTCAGAACGCGAAAAAATAAAAAATTCTAGTATTTTTAATTCGAAAACGAAGCACTTGAAGAAAAATAGTTATGAAAAAAGAGAACTTGAAAACTTACATTTTTCATGTAGTTAATCAATGAATAGCCATGATCCCAGGTATCTGTTGAATCACAAGATAATGGTTTGACATCTATTTGCTGTGATGTATCTAAGACGTGTAAGGCCATTGCAAACAAATGTACTGCATCGTAAATTAGTGCAGTTTCAGTCTATATGCGCATGATCATGAAAATAAATCGAGTATTACACGATCAATAAAATGAATTCATTTTTATTTTAATGTTTTGATATGTAACGTCTTATGGATCGTAAGGATCAAGAAATGAATTCATGAAAAGCGAGGGCATATCTAAAATAACGAGTTAGAGCCTGGCACTCTTGGCCTCACGAGACTGACGGATCATCATATAGACGAGCAGCGCGAAGTCTGATCAAACATAAAATGCGCGCATGTCTCCACCAATGCTGCAAGAGCGCACGGCGAGATCAAGAGAATGTTGACTGAGCGTCATCGAACCATCAGCGTCATTATGGAGTACCGCGCCAGTCATCGTGAATAAAGGGGATGGCCCCCGACGGAAAACAAACAGTTCAAGAAAAATTAAAAGTAAAAGTTAAAAGTATCATATAATTTGTAAAATGTAATAAAATGTAAAGAAATATAAAATTGCCAACGATTTCGGACATTCAATGCATTAAAAATGCAGCATATGATTACATTTTTTAAAAGCACGTTTCTTGACTCATATGATGCTTAATAATGAAGTCTGTTTGTCTGCCGATAACCAAAATTTATCAGAAGTTGTACTTTGATGTATCGATAAACATATTAAAATATTGGCTTAATCGCTGGATACGAACATGTTTATTTTTTTACCTTTTGACTACCTAAACTTGGCATCAAAAGTCAAGTTTCGAAAATTTTTTCATATTCACCCCAAAAAAGCAGAATAAAATTTGGAAAATGAAAATTTAACTGAGACCCTGTAGATTCGTTGGACCTAGGAGGCAGAAACTTTCAGGATTTTGATTTTTCAATGTACTTTTCAAGAATACATACTTAGTTTCCACTTCATTTTTTTGACATATCACGCTTGAAATGGCTATGCCCATATAAATCAAATTCAGTCATCTCAGTACTCCTTACTTCGATGATGTTATAATGCTTTCTGCTGCACTAGAGTGAGTTCACTTTTTTAACAAAAATTGATTTGGGTACAAAATCTCCAAACCAAAAGCTCCAATCCAAAAGATCCATACACATCGATCGCAAAAAAAATATGGGTCAACACGCTTATTTAAGAGATAAATCCATGTAAAGTTGGTCGATTTAACATGGGTCTTATGGGAGCATTTTCATGATTTACCGTTCTTTAATCGTTCACGATTAAAGTACCTGACAGATATTGATGAAAAACTAAGGCTAGAAAGAAAAAATTATAAGCCTTCGAATGATGAAACAAAAAAGGGGGGTCAACACATTAATGAATAAAATATTTTAATGTAAAGAGTCGAAATCGTGAGGTTACAATGTTTTGCGCGATGCGGCCGCTGCACGCAAAATGGCGCGCTATTTGAGTTTCGAAGCGCACGATATATTATTAAAACTTAAATGTATTACGTAATATATTTATTAAATATTATTAGTAACAGTTTTTTGTTACAATCATGAAACTGTTATAACTAATTGTAGTTATTTAATCAATTGTTCAGACCTTGAGTATTACCTAAAATAGTCTAGGAGTTCATTTTTGCTATATTCGAAACTGCTGCTTATGAGTAAGTTGGAATAATAGATGGAACACGTCGTGTATATGTCTGTTAGGTATATGCGTATGGCGTATATGAGTTCGCGTCGGCGCGGGCTTATATTATAAGTCCCGGGACTGAGCGTATGCGTGTTATTGTAGTAGCCGCGATGTAGCTTGGGTGTATGACCGTTGGAGAAAGTTACTTGTGTGCGTCTGCTATGTATATGCGCACGGCGTATATGAGTTGTGTTGGCGCGGGCTTCTATTGTAGGGCCCGGCACAGAGTGTCTGCGTGTTATTGTAGTATCCGCGGTGTAGCGTGGGTGTATGACTGTTGGCGAGAGCGACTCGTGTGTGTCTGCTAGGTATTTGAGTACGGCGTATATGAGTTCGCGTCGGCGCGGGCTTATATTGTAAGTCCCGGGACGGAGTGTATACGTGTTACTGTAGTAGCCGCGGTGTAGCGTGAGTGTATGACTGTTGGGGAGAGAGACTCGTGCGCGTCTGCTAGGTATATGTGTACGGCGTATATCTCTTTGTGTCGGCGCGGGCTTATATTGGAAGTCCCGGGACTGAGTATACTTCTGCTGTTGTAGCAGCCGCCGCACACACAACAGGCAACGAGTCACGGCTCTCCGGTGTTATGAAAACACCTGTATACCTGTCAAGCACACGTGCTTGACGGGTGTCCGCTATTCTAGCGCTAGTTTCGCTTTGTTTTAGAGCGAAACTGTCGAACTTGTTTTAAGTTCTTTTTGCCATGAGTTATTCACGGGCTCGCAGAGGAAGAAAAAGGAATTCAAACACATACGTTATGTTGTATAACGCCTCCGTGGGCCGTGTTGTACAGCTGGAGAGTTTGAGAGAATAGCAGACGAGCTTGTTTTAAGCTCTTTACCATGAGTTATTCATGGGCTTGCAGAGTAGGAAAGTGAAGGAATGAAAATAAATTTTTGAACTTACTCGTTATGTTTTATAACGGCTCCGTGTGCTGTGTTTTACAACTGGAGGTTCAAGGGAGAATGCGAGGCCTGTTGGTTTGTTCATCGGCTTTTTATACTCTCAGAATCTGTATTGTTTTATGTGGGCTAAGTACATGCTGGAATTTGATTTGACCTAAGGTCGTAAAATTTACGAGTGGGCTGAACAAACCAACCGTCCTCGGATTCTCGATCTTTCCACGTTCCACGGGCCAAATCTTTATTATAAAATACTAGACATAATTGTTGACAAAAGTGTGATACAGTGAATTGTTTGAAATCAGTGAGTTGAGACGAGTGCAACGATACCAAACAGTGCATATTTACGATGACTCAGTATTTGTTCGTGAAGTGCTAGTGATTTCATTATTATTTAATTAATTGATAGTTTACTTGAGTTTGATATCTGTGGTATAGTGACAATTGCTATTGTTTGATATTCTTGCACTCAGCTTAAAGCTTAATGTAATATTGTGTTTGTAAATAATCATTTTGAGTCGTTAATACAGCCACGTGTAGTTATACCTCTATGGAGTTATTTTCTATTTAATTGACATCATTGAGTTATAATAAAAATTGAATTCATTAAACATAATAATTAAACACAGTGAGTTAAAATATTTAGAAATCATATAAGAATAATTAATCTTTTGTTAAAATGAGATTCGTTAATCGGGTCGGTAACTTAGGAACTCTATGATCTAGGATTGATATTTTTCTAATGTGGGTAATGGAGTGATTATCGATCGATCATGATTGTAGGCGGGAAAGAAAAAAAACCATATGATATCAGTGGCGGTGCTGGACGTCACAAAACCAATGAACAAATCTAATAATAATTAAAACTTAAAAGTATTATGTAATATATTTATTAAATATTATTTTGAACATTTTTTTGGTACAATCATAAATCTAATAAACAAATCTAATAATAAAATATATCAATTTCTTAACATTTAATTATAATTGATTAGTTGGAAATAATTTCATAACTTTATCTAAAATTTTTTCATTTTTAGTGATCCTTGGGCTTCTATTTAAATTTTCAGTAAATAATAGCAAGATAGCTTCTTGACCACCTTTCTCATAAGTTGAAACTAAAATGTTATTATTTACTCCAGCAGAAGCCATTTTGTTGATGATATTGGGCGAAAATTCATTTTTAAAATCAATTAGATTCGCTTTGTTACATGCAATGATCTGCTGCCTTACTTTACTATTTAGAATAACTGAAATACTTTGGGTATTCTGACAAATCAGCTGATCAGATATCTCAAGTTTATTTATGAGACATTTTAAAACTTTCATATTTTATCGATTGCATTATGCAATGTTGTAATATCGACGTTCGGTAAAAAAGTTGATACTAATGCAGAAATTGAAAATTTTTCTTTATTTCTTACCCTCTCTAGCAATACTTTTCTGAAAATTGGCAAGGAATCGGCAAACCCTGTGACATATTCACAAAATTCGTCAAGTTTTCCGACTTCTTTCACCAGTTTCAAAAGTCTGGGAGTATCGAATCTAAAATTTTAGAAAGTCTTTAACAAATTATGCATAAATTAGAAGTATTATACATACCTATTTCCATTATGCGCCAACAAAATCTCTTGTTTCTCAAATGTTTTAATGTATTGAATAAATAAATTAACAGCATCTGCTGCTGAGGATGCTTCAAGTCTTTCCTCATTTAGAAATAGATCGCCATCAATAACAGATACTCCCGTAACAATTGATGCCCCTTTTGACATAGATACAGATGGAATAATATAACTGTTAAAGATAGATTCGTGTAAAGAGATTGCTGATATCTAAAAAATGTACGGAAATTTATTATCACAGAAATTAATGCTACAAAAAAAATAAAATAGTTCACCTGCACTATTTCATCTGTATTGGACAGGCCAGTTGTTTCTACATCGAAAATGATAATTTCACATTCATCTGGCGATAACAATAGTGGCTGATTACTGCATAATATATTTTGGCTCTCCATGTCCACAGAAACATCATGAAATGACATACCACTTTCATACGATATGCCTTCTTTGCGTTTGGAAATAGAATTTTCTTTACTGCTTTTTTTTCAATGATGGACGTTGCTTTTAAAATTCATTTTTTTTTAGCGTTCAGCATTTTTCATACACAGAGCTTTCATTTTTAATCTATATTGCTCCGAAATAGAATTTTTTGTAGTTGAAATCTTCTCCAGTACGGATTTGATATAATCTGGGCCGATATTCTTATGGCAGACGGCAGCTGCTACTCTAAAGTTTAGCGAAGATAAAGCAGCATAGTGCTTATTTTTTGGATTTCTCAATGCCACTAGATTGTTAATTGACTCGTTCATTTGCGTTGAAGAACAATGTCCAATTTGACTTGCAATTTGTGAGTAATAATGTATGATTTTAGTCAATTCTATGCGTAAGTTTATATCAGTTAGACATTTTCCATGCGGTAAATATTTGTAAACATATGCATCACCAAGAATTTTCCCTTTACATGAATCATTACGCAAAGTGTGATCGCCATAAGCATGTGGAACAATTTTTTTTAGCTCTCTTTTTATTTTGATTTCATCATTTTTATTCATTTTTATTGCGAGAGAAAATTTGTAGGAGAGGTAGTCAATGACCATTCTCGAAATTTTGAGCGCAAACAAGGACTTGGTGAAAGCTTTTTTGATGTGATTGAAATCAAACATCTTACTATTTTTGAACCATCTGCAGATTCTCTGCGTATTGCTGATATACTACTAGAATCGGCATCTCCTACGAAAACGTTGATTGCTGCACCATTCTCACATAATAAATTATTTGTTGTAACTAATTCAACTGCCATATTTTGGGTTCCATCGATTTGGCAGAACCAACGTGGTTCTTGCGGCAGTCGTGATCATTTGTAAGATGACCTAATGTACAGTATCTGCAATCTTTTGAACGAACACTATAAGATAGTACTTTATTTGAATGAAGTCCTACTAACGTAGAGTGACCTACATTTTTCGAAGTAGTGTTATTTTGTGAATACCAGAGAATAAATAATAAAAACCATTTATTTTACCAGATAAACTATTATATGCGTGACCCATTCCACGCTTTTGCCACGCACTGTCGAACGCGCCTTGTAAATAAGTTACTAAGGAACTTGAGGAACTTGAGGAATCTGTACTTGGATTCAGGTTTTTCTGAATAAAGTGAATCAATATATGTTCAGTTATTTATTATGAATTTTATTTAGTATATGGGCTATTCCACAACAGGTGTTGCAGGCCCAAAAAATGAAGTTGAAACTAACCATTTACTCTTCAAGAACACAATGAAAAATGAAAATCCTGAAGAGCACAGCCCCTTAGGTCCAACCCTCATGGATCTACATGGACTCAAAGTTGGATTTTTATGTTTTGAGGATATTCTGCTTGTTACTCTGCTTTTGTGGGGTGAATATGAAAAAAATTTTAAACCATGTTTTTTCATGTAAAATTTGATGTAGAATTCAAATCTGTACTCAGATGAGACATTAATAACCTCAAAACCCCTTGAAATAGAAAACATGGTGTAATAGGACACGAATGTCAAAAAAAAAATATGTTCGTATGCCTCAAATCAGCCCATATTGTAATATGTTCATCGATACACCAAAATACAACTTCTGATAAAGTTTGGTAACTGAGTCTCCATTACAGATCATTTTGAAGCTTTTGAAAGGCCAAAAAACATGGAAAATGAGGAAAAAACCATGAATCTATCAGTGAATGCACTGATATAATTACAACTCTAGTTGTATACTACATAAGTAAATAGTTATTGCACAATATATTTAAAAGATTGTAAAAAAATCTCAAAATTATTCTATACAAAAAAAAAACAAAAAATGTTTAAAAATTGATTGAAAAAAAATAACCTGATTCATATTGCCCTTGACTTAAAAAATTAATAACAAAAAAACAGTTGTATACAACTACCTAGAGTATTTGTAAATAATTAAATCATTGTAAAAATCAATCGCTTGAGTAATGTACAATTTTGTAAATAAATTGAAATAACTAAATCATAGTATTCTCTGATCATCTGATTTTTAAACGATTGTGTCTGTAGTTACTTTTCTTGGACTAGCTTCTTTTCTAATAAAATGCTGGCAACGCACGAATCCTCAGCAGTTTTTTCTATGCCTGGCCCTACTTTCCTCTCATGATTTTTTATTGTAGTTTCGGCTACTTGAGGTATGTATAGTACGGTAAGGATTGAATTGATCTGTGATGGGCCAGTTCCTGAATCGATCATTCCTATAAAGTAATATAACATTATGTATATAAAATTAATTTGATAGGAAAAATGCTTCAGTAATACACTTACCCAGAGCTAATTCGTCAATGACAAGCTGCTTGTGGGTTTTGACAGGTTTGAAATTGTTACACTTGGTACATAATATGTTAACAATACTCATTAAATCCCTTCTGATTTCAGATTTTACATTTCTGAATGTTAATGGCTCATTACATTTATAACACCACTTTCCTCTTTCAATGTGTCAATGTCAATAATTCTACTACCTTCAAAAGTAGGACAAGTCTCCTCAGTTTGACACATATCCTGAAACATTTATATAATATTTATTGTAAGTAGAGTGACTACATGAGTTGATGCAGGTATATATATGAAAAAAGTAGTATCGAATAGTGTGATAAATTTTTATGAAATACTTACATCCTGATATTGCGATGTTTTCGCCTTAAACGCCACTAATTTCTCAATCTTTTGGGCCACTGATTTTGCTTCCTCAATAGAGGAAGCTATGTGATGGGTTCGAATATGAGTTTTTGAACCAGACCTCGTACGACAATTTCGTTTACATTTTTGTAAACTAGATCGAATTTCCAACACTTGTCTGTATGTATGTGTGTGTTTTTTTTTTCCTACTCCACACCATTCGGACACTCACCGGTATCCGCCGTTAGGCATTGCTTCGGTGAGGCCGGGGTTAGTTGAGCATTTCTGCTACTCCTGTTAGTCGTTGTTTTCCATACATCCCCCATCCGTCGCATAGTGATATGCGACGATTAGGGATTCAGGGACTCATCTTCATCTTCTTGGTGAACCTCCGATCCTGCACGCTGCCATCGTCGATTGTCGTATCCCCTTTTTCAGAGCCGTCTGCGTGGTCACACATTGCTGGCATCTTCTCCTGAGTTGGACATCTTCTTTAGAACTCGCTGTCTAGTGCCATCTTGTGAGTGTGGTTCTCGCTTCTGCCGCCGATGGCAAGTGCCCAATTTGCTCTGTCGGCTACATCTTTTGAGTGTGGTTCTCGCTTCCGGCGCTACTCTGTGAGTGCTCCTCCTTTTCTATTGTCGTCTTGTGAGTGTGGTTCTCGCTTCAGGCGCCATAATGCGCTCCACCAGAGCCTTGGCTCTCGCATCCGGCGCCCTCTTGTGAGTGTAGTTCTCGCTTCCGACTTCATCATGGGAGTGGTGTGCTCCATCTATTGCCAGCCTTGTGAGTCCTCGCCTCGGGCTCCTACTTGTGGTTGTCCTATCGCTTCCAGCTCGCACAGTGATCAGGATTTTTTACCGCTTCGGAGGCTGATGACATAGCCCGGGTCTTCTTTTTTGAGTGGTACCCGCTCCACTTCAGGCACAGGCTCGACCACACCAGGCGAAAAAACTAACCTCGAAAATTTGTCCGGTGGGGATCGAACCCACGCCCTACGGCGTACCTTGTATCAGCAGGCAAGAACTATACCCACTGAGCCAAGGAGGCCGATGTGTGTGTGTGTGTGTGTGTGTGTGTGTGTATGTGTGTACCGTGTGCAGAGCCTTATGTAGAGAACGAGACGATGAATCCCGTTGAATTCAATTGCATTTATTGTTTTGTTGAATGTCTCAAGGATGAAGCCCGAACTCATTTCAAATTTAATTTGATAATTATCATTTTGAATTTTTATTTTTATTACTCAGAAAAAAAAATTTTTAACCTTTCTTTAACTTTTCAAAAAAAAATGTTGTTTTGTTTTATCTTCCTTCATAGAGGGGTTTTTCCTTGTACTATTAAAAAATATATTTGATTTTTTTTAATTTAAAAAAATATACAAAATAACGATATACTAAATTTTTTTTTAAAATTATTATTAATCGTAAATAACTTTTATGGAGGAAGCTCCTTGCCAATGTCTTGGCAGCGGTTTTTTTAAAAACTTCCCTTTTCTTGGATCTCTCGTCAAATGCAGTCGGGTGTATGCATTTGCTTTTTCCATCTTGTTAGTAATTAAAAAACGTGCTAATTGAACGATACACGCGTAGACACGCCTAGATAATTACCCGCGTGTTCGACTATGTATAAAGTGTAAACACAATAACCGTAGCAGACATGCGCACTAGGCGCGACGCAACCGCGGTCAATGCGTAGATGCAAGAGGCACAACGCGTAGAGCGCACGAATGCAGGACAGCTACACGCGCTCGAGCCTCCTTAATTGAAGATATGCGCAAAGAAATCTGGGCCGGATTTTATCACAAAATTTCGACGGATAAGCAACCACAGCATTTGCACTGTCCACCAGGGGCTGATTCGTGGTGCAAATATCAAAAATTAAAAGCGACTGAAAATTAAAAAGGGTTTAAGCATCCTCCTGCTTTAGATGAAGAAGCTCAAGAAATTTTAAAACCCATCTTTTAATTATTTGACAAAGGATGAGTTGCTGCAAAGATGTTAAGGTGGCCACACGCAAAATAATAACGAGAGCTTCAACCAGTGCGTGTGGATGATGGCACCAAAACACATTTTTTCCGTTGGTGTTATTGTTGAAATAGCAACCAACATAGCTGCTTGTATCTTCAATGAAGGATTTCGCACCGTGCGAAAAATGATGGATGAGCTAAACTTAAAAATCGGAGCCTATGCCTCTACTGACGCTGAGAAGCGCGACGAGCAGCGCATACGTTTAGCGAACCCCCGTAGGACTGACTTGTCTCAGAAAGATAGAGCAAGCCGCACGGACA